GTGCGTGACTGTAATATGTACTGACCACTTACTAATGACTCTTGAGTAGTTTCAATAAGTAGAAAAACCTAAAATTTAGTCCAAGTAGTTCTTGATTGAGATTGTTGATTTTCAGAGTTTAGGGGATCCAGGTGGCCTGGTTTATCCCATTATACATTTAGAAGTCACAAGTAGGCTGACTTCTGAAGACTTTCAGACACACTGTTTAAAAATGTTATTGCTAGCAGTAATAATCAAATTTATTCTGAGACTTGATAGAATTCCGTTATACACAGGGGTTGCTGTTAGCAAATTAAAAGAAATTTTTTTATCGAAATCATTATTAACTAATATAATTGGCCTTTTCTATGTTGAGTCTCTTAGTCTATAGATTAATTCCTTTGAATTTTTCTCCTTCTTTTAAGGCAGACACACTATTAAGATAGTCAACCTTCAGACTGTGCTTTGCCATCTGCTTAGTTCAAGTGGTTGTGTGACTTTATCTCTTGTTAAGCTTTAAGAAGCTTTCACTGACATAGTGTTTTAACTATAGATTAAACCCATGAAATTTTCTCCTTCTTTAAAAGCAGGCACACCATTAAGCTATTCAACCTTCAAACTATGCTTTGCCATCTGCTTAGTTCAAATGGTTGTGTGAATTCATCTCTTGTTAAGCTTTGGTAAGCTTGCACCAACATAGCATTTTAACCTCTAAACACAGGAAATGCAACAAACAGGTGAAGATCAACAAACACTGCAGGAAGATTTTAAATGACTAATCAGATGGAAGAAATATCTGAAAGGAGCAGACAGAAAAACAGAATGCCAACTGTTGTAGCCACAAACTTGAGAAGGTGAGAATAGATGGCTGCCTGCCAAGAAATCCTCAGGCCCTGTAAATTCAACGTGTTATTACAAATAGAATCCCTGGTGCACATGGATGTGCACACACACATGTATGCACACACATGAGGAAGCAATGGCAAATTTCTAAAAAGGATTTGTGAAAGAAAACCTATAGAGTTTTGCTGGGGAACTTCCACATCCTAGAATTAGATTAAGATAAAGAGTTACAGAAAATGTTCAGTAAGATATAACAAGCTAGAAAGTGGTTTTTAGAATCAGAAAGAAGAGAGTCAAAGTCTTCCTTCCATCATGAAAGAATTGGTTACATTGCGCAAGTTCTTTCACTTTCTCAGCTTATATTTCCTCAGTTTTAAAATGAGTATTAAGAACAGTTTCTGTGTCTAGGGCTGTTAGGAAAGTTGAACATGGGCATGCAGGAAGGAATTCAACTGAGCTGAACATGGAGGAAGCACTTCCCATGTGCTAGCAATGATCATTTAATGTGATTCCTTTGTTTCCTCTGTACAAATTTCCAAATGTGTTTTACTTTTCCTTTAAAGGACTATCATTAACTCTCAGGTAGGTTTGCCTTGCCTTTCAAATACTGTTCTAGTTTCTCCTTCCCCATGACCCAAATATCCGTATAATTTAGATATTCCTAAATTAGAATTCTCTATTCCTGAGTAAGAAATCCTTTTCCCTGTGTCCAAAAAATTTTCCTCCCCTCTTCCAAGTACCCTCTCTGAGAGGTACTTGGAAGCAAGAAAGCCATCTGAATAAGATGGCACAAGAAAGCCATCTGAGAGTATGGTATAAGGAAAATATTTTAAGAACAAGATCATGAAGAAAAATATTTCAGGAGTCAGATCATATAGGTCTTTGTAAGCCTCTGTAAGCATGGAGAAGCTTATATAGCTTTGGATTTTGCAAAGGAGCATCTATATAATCTAAATGTTTCAAAGATCTCTCTGGATGTATATGGAGAAATGTTAGAAGAGAACAAAGATAAGATCAAGGAGATCATTTAACAGGGTTTTTCAAAAGTTCAGGTGCCAGACTATAGTAGCTTGAGATATAGCAATAAAGATGCTGAAAAAATATCAGATTATTACAAATTCTGGAAGTATCATCAATAGCATTGTCAATGAACTTATGGGATGAGGGAAATGCCATCTGAGTAACTGAATGAAGGATATTATTATTACCTAAAATGAAACAGATTTGGGTGGAGGGAGGGATTTAAGAGAAAGGAGAGAATTGAGATTTAGTTCTGTAAGTTTAATGTAAATTTTTGCCTCTTTCATTTCTAGTAATCCTATGTATTTCCTTTTTTTTTTTTAATTTGCTTTGTCAATTTTTAAGTTTTACTGTAGATAACCTCAAGCTCAAGCTCCTCTTTTGTAAGCTGTTTTTAATCTGTTTCTGCCAAGTCCATTACCTAAAGTATGTATAGTTTTTTGTTTGTTTGTTTTAGTGTTTTTCCTTCATGGTATCTTATTTTCTTGTGCTCCTTGTTATCTTAAGCCATGTGGCAAGAAAATATATTGGTAACCATAATTTGAGGCTTAGAGTGAGTACATGACTTATTCTGCCAGGATTCTGGAGGTAATAACAATGAAGATCAACTTAAACTACATTTAATGCCAGAAGTTCCCTCCAGATAACTCAGTCAATTCAAAATTATGCTGGAATTCCACGTGAGGGACTGTTTTCTTCTATTTTATCCTCTCCCCAAGGAATGAAGTTCTTTGGTATCCTAGGCCATTCTTGAGAAAATCTCTCATTACCCTTCCAAATTTTTATAGGTCTTGAGTTTTGATTGCTGTTCTCATTTTGCACCAACTAGCATGCTCCTTTGCCTCTCTCAGTTTCAAGTTTATCTCCACTTTTGACCCAATAATCTCATATTGTCTTGTAAGATTTCTGTCATTTTTCAGAGGACTTGAAATATTAATATATCTTTTCTACTTCTTTTAACTATCTGGGATTGGGGAAGGAGAGAGATTGATTCAACTACATAATTAATCATTACAGGAAAAAAAGTGGAATGTTTCTTTGTGAATATGAAGGGATTCAATGTCTGTTATACAACTGAGGGGAGAGGTTAAGTGAGAAAGCTCTCAGGGGAGTCCAGTATTGGAGGTATAATTTAGGGAGACATTGACCACTTAAGATGTGAATTTAGATAGAGAAGAGGGCCAAAGGCCAAGGATCAGGGACTCCAGAATGCAGAGGTCAGAATGAGAAAAGGAAGCCAGCAAAGAAAACTAACCAAATAAGAAAAGGAAGCCAGTATGTTTGAAGTAAACCAACATGTCACAGCACAACTAAAGAGAACAAAGTGTTTCAAGAAGGGAGGACATCCAAATGCTCCTGGGAAACTGAGCAAATGAGAAAAAGTACAAAGAAGAAATCATTGACAATATGGAACCCAATGACAGAAACATTTTTAGGGAGTTTTGTGACAAAAGCCTTAATGAAGTAGCCTGAGGAGTAATAGAGGTGGTGACACTGAGTGCTGACAATGCCATACTTATTTTCTATGGAAAAAAAAGGTAACAATTGGGCAGTAGGTAAAGAAGAATTTATGGTCATGATGTACTTTTAAATGGAAAGTGATGTAGTTGATTTCTTATTACACTGTTTTCCTTTTGAGATGGAGTTTCACTCTTTTTGTTTAGGCTGAAGTGCAATGGTACGATCTCAGCTTACTGCAACCTCCGCCTCCTGGGTTCAAGCGATTCTCCTGCCTCAGGCTCCTGAGTAGTTGGGAGTATAAGGCTCACTCACTATGCCCAGCTAATTTTTGTATTTTAGTAGAGATGCGTTTCACCACGTTGGCCAGTCTGGTCTTGAACTCCTGACCTCAGGTGATCTGCCCGCCTTGGCCTCCTGAAGTGCCATGATTGACAAATGAAAAAGACCACACAGCTGTGAAACATGGGGCATTTGAGACAGCATTTGAAACATGGGGCATCAGGCTTGTGCAGAGAAGAAACATAAATTACCATGGCTCTGGAAGGCGGGGCAGCAGTCACAGAGGCCTCCACCTCTTGCCGAGGGCTCCAGTCCTAAAGATCTCATTTCCTGCATGGCTACGTAGACAGGCATCAGTGATTATTACACTGGGTTAAGAACTTCAGCTTTTCTTTAAAATCTCCAGACCTCTGCCTTAGAGATGGCATTTTTCAAAATGTTTCAATTGGGTCAAATTGTTATTTTTCCACCTGGTGGTATCCCAAGTTTCCATCAATTTACCTTGCAGATGCCTTGATTTCTCCCTCTCTTGAGACACCATTTCATTTTTAATTTTTTTTTTAATTTTAATTTTTAATTTTCTTTTTTAGAGACAGAGTCTTGCTTTGTTGCCCAGGCTGGTTTCAAACTCCTGGACCCAAATGGTCCTCCTCCCTTGACCTTCAAATGTACTGGGTTTATAGGCATGTGCCACTCTCCTGGTACACCGTATTTTCAGTCCACTCACTTCTGTCTCTTGCATTTTCCTTGGGTAAAGCCCCAGGCCCACTTTTGCTACAGTCTTCTTTGATTCGCTTTAATTTGAGCTTTCACAGGTAAAACCTTTCATAGGTTTCAAAGCAGTCTCCCACATCTCATTTACTGCCTTGTGATTTAGCTGGATGCCATCATCCCTATTAAATGTGTGAGGGAGGTCTCAGAGGCATTAACTTACCCAGAATTAACCCAGGACCCCAACTCCAGCTTGCAGGACTTCCCCACCATGACCAGCTGCAGGACCAGACCCTTCCTTGGGAATGCACGTTTGACTACCCAAGAATCACTTTAAAACTCATAATGTCTCTGGAGACATTGTTTCTCAGAGACAGCTTCCCTAGCACTGTTGGGTCTTGTTAACCCATTTCCCTCCTGTTGCCCTTTTGATCTTGAAATCTTAGCTCATGTTAAGATCACCTTTCACAGATGTTGTTACTAGCATTCTCCAATTTTTAGTTTTTTGTATTTAGGATTTGGATCATTTACCTACTCTAAGTATCTATTTTTACACATCTTTTTTTCTCTGCACATGGCAAATTCTTGTAAGGTGAGAGCTGTGTTTTCCATTTCCTTAGGGGATTTTTCTGCTGGGGGGAGTTTAATTGGAATGAGTGTCCAGCCAACCTTGAGGAAATAAAATAATTCAACCTTGAAAAAAATACTTTTTCTACAAATTATTTTATTAGAATGTCAGACTCAAAAGGAACTACCAGGAACATGCCTGAAAATGCTATATATGATTTATGCTTGACATGACACCTGCTGTCATTGCATCCAGAATGACAAGAGAAAAGGAAGTGGAGGTGGGTGGGAACAGCACCAGCCCTGGCTAGCCAGACCTCAGGCCCACAAACCTGGTACCCACAACCAGGATCCCTACAATGTACACATTCCTAATTCAGCCTCAACTCTCCTTTTAGCCACGAGTAAATGCCTCAGGACTCAATCTGAATCACTGTCATTCTCAGCTTCTTTCACATCCACACTGAATTTGTATTCCTGGTCACATCCCATGTAAGTGTCACTCATGAAATACAGAGTGTAGTTGTAGGCACCAGTGGCTGGAGCCACAAAGTCCAACTGTCCAACTTCACCTTGTCCTTCTGCTGCAGGGTCAGCCTCTTGATGGAGATGAGGCTATTGGACTTGGCATCTCCAATCACCACCCACGTTTCTGTGGGAAGAGAGGTGCAGTGATATGGTCTGTGACTTCCTCCTCTTGCTCCAGCTGCACCAGCACCACCACAAGCCCACCACTGCGGATACTGTCCTTATCCACCACCTCATAAGACACTTCAATATTAGGGTAGCAGTTACAAAAGCAGGCCACATCTGCAATCTGGCTGTCAGTCAGCTGATGCAATGTGTTCTGTTCTTCATCCTTCATCTCCATGATATAAAAAACACTCTCTACTCCTTTGTCTGTGCAATGTTTGATATGCTCAGAGGTGAAGTGTGGCAACTGCTTCAGGTATGAGTCCTTGGACCACATGGCTTGGGTGACCATCTGGGCATGTTCCATACCTGCCAGAGCAGGGCTGAGCCACCCATTGCTGGAGAGGACATCCACGCAGGCCTGGATGAATCAGATTGCCTTACTAAGAATTTCCTCCATATCTGACTGCAGCTCAGCACTTAGCTGCATGCGGGACAGGTGAGCCTTCAGGAGCAGGTTGGTCTTGATGTGGGGATCATTGAACTTAGGGTTATTCAGCTTTTGGGTTCCTTCTGAGCCAACTGCCTCAGGAGGTTGTTGTCATGGTGCCGGATGGGAATGTTCTCATATTCTGCCTCATTGGAGATGATCTCAATGAGCCCTCGCACCTTGGTCTTGGCATTGAGTGACATGCTGAAGAGCTCAGTGGTGGTGTAGTTGATTTAATAGTAGGCAGCGATCATGCACAGGTTCAGAGGCACCACATCCATCATGTCCTTGATGCTGATGCATTTGGTCCAGGTCACTCAGGGTCTGCTCCACCGGCTCTGACAAGTGGTCGAACAAGTGATGATGGGAGATGCCCTGCCTGTTGTAGTAACTGGGGTTCTGTGCCATGTGGCGGTACAGAAAGGTGTAAGTGAGGTAGTCCATAGCATCCTGCTTGTTCTCAATGGTCTTGGTGATGATCTCAGCATTGAAGTGGTCATGCATACAGTGGTATAGGTGAGATTCTACTGGCAATGGCTCATATAAGAACTTCTTGAAGAAATCCTTGTTGGATACCTGACACATGATGACACAGTGCCCCTCATTGTCCTGCAAAGGGTGGTTGGCATGGCCCACCATCTGAAGCATGTCGTAGATGGGGTAATCCATGTAGATGTGGATCTTGCCATTGTAGTACTGGGTGTTCATGATGATTACAGGTGGGCAGCCATGTTCATGCCCCAGCAGAGACTCCAAGAAGGCACTACCACCTGGAGAGCCCCTGAGCTGAAGAGTTGCTCCACCAGGTGTCACTCCATCAGGTTGAGCCCCTCATGCAGGTAGCCCACCCATTTAGCAGCATTTTCTTTAGCGTGGTGTCACTCAGCTTCTTCAGGTATGGAATCAGATTCTTCTCAGTGCAATGCAAGAACCTCTGCCAGTGGATGTCTGCCGCACACGTGGTAAGGATGTCAATGACAGTGAGGCAGATCTGCTTGCCAGGCATGAGCCACCATGACTGGTCTATACTGATCTTATAGAAAGGGATAAATTGCTGATGTAGAAGAGAGTAGGGATAACTCCAAGTGTTGGTCTTTGGACAGACAAGATGGGAGACGATCTAAAGTCCTTAGGATTAGGGATACTACTTCCACTGTGATGAGGAAGGAAAGCAAAGCCAGTGAGTCGAGATTCATGGAGGCTCATACAACTGGTGATGAGACTTTATGTTTTGGTTGGATTTATTGGACTATATTGAGGATAGGCTTATTTTCCAAAGTATTTTAAATGTCTGACAAGAAAGTTTACACTGAAGAGGACTAAAGAGAACCCATATGCAGGAGAGACTGAATGGAGTATGAAAGAGTCTAAAAGTTTTGCTACTTAGGGAATCAGAAGTTTCAAATAGTTGAAATATAGTCATATAGCAAAGGCAATGGTCTTTCCTGTGAGTATGTGTGTGCAGCTCCAGAACACAGAACTATGACCAGTAGATGAAAGTTAAAGGAGGATCCCTTGCAATTCATAAAAATCAGCTTTGTAATGATCAAAGCTTTGTAATTTGAAGTTGTGGAGTTCCCATCACAGAAAATGTTCAGAGAGCTAACTGCGCTTTGTGAAGTCATTGTGGAGATAATCCTTGCATTGAAAAGAAGGAACATTATATTAGACATTTCAATCTGTACGAGAAGTGAATTTGTTGAATTCTGTGACTGGTTCATGTTTTTATATCATTTCTCAGCAATGTCATCTTTACTTCCTTATGCTTTCCTCTTGATTGTAGTGTGGCATCTGGGTTGTAATTAGTGGAGAATTTGAAACAAGTGGTGATCAGACAGAAAATAGGGCTTACATTACTTTCTATCATCATATTTTGCAAGCTTTACAGACAAACATGGTATCATAGAATTCCTCTGACCCAAGGTTGTCAGAGAAACTTGAGGAATCACATATCCAATTTTAGTTTCTTTTCTCCTTTTTAATGCTCTTGAAGTTGAGCCTCTGCATAAGATGCTTCAATAGTGTTATTGCTTAATTAATTAGAGACAAGAGAAGAATAAAATTTTAAAGAGTGAATTGTAGATTATAAAGTCAGCTGTTCAGCAATGACATGGACTAATTTGATAATTGAAGGGTCAGTACCTGCAAAAGTAAGAACACTGCTTACAAGCATTAGCATCCAACTAGTAACAATGTGCACGCCAGGATAATGAACTTAAAACAATAGTAATTAGCAGGCTAAGACAAAGGATTAAAATTAAAAATGAATGGTGCAGTGCTTTCCACTTGCTTGTAAAACAGCATTAAGCCAACTTAATCCATTTTAATTCATTGTGAAACCTGCAGTGCAAATGAGATGGATTCAAGGGTCAGGTTCAGCTCCTGAGAAAGTGCGATACATCCACCTGTGACAATTCTTTCTGGAATGATAAAGTAAGGGAAGTCTCTTAAGAACTCTGAGTGACTCCATAAGGTCCCCAGAGATCAGGTGTCAAAGTTGTCTATCAGATGCCTGAAAAGAAAAAAGGAAAGCATTACTCAATGCTATTGTGAGACAGTTGTCATTGACTGATCAGGCCTTTGAAGCACGCTTTCACAGTCAATGAAACCACCTGAATAGATGAAAGCCAGACAGCTTCTGACAAACAAGAGTCTATGGAATATTCATTGTGCATCTGGGAGGGAAAGATTAATGTATTAGAAATTAAAATGGGACCAGAATGTATGATCTTGCTCTAACACTTGGCCAGACCTGTGTCACCCACTGCTAGTGCCTGAAGTCGACAGACAATTCTGCCAAGGTAACTGAGAATCATTAAGCATCCTGCTATTGTGCATGGTGAATAATAAAACTTTCCCCCTATTCTTTGCCCGGAGCTTACAATGAATAATTCTGGAGCTATTTGCAATGTTAACAGCACCTATCTTGCCCATCCATTCCTTTATGATAAGGATGGAAATATGCATTTCAACAGTCTGTACAGATACTGATTCACAGGCATTTCAAAGGACACCTGTCACTCAAGTGAAGGACCTGTCAGTCTCCGATGTATGATGGTGCCAAGAAAATGGCCCAAAAAGATTATCTGTACTTTATTTCTCCCTTTTTCGCAGATTAAGACACTGTTACATTTGCCATAGACTGACAAGTGATTTACACTGGCAACTGTAATGTGTTTAAGGCTAGGAAAAAAGCTATTCTCTTAGGCAGGCATATTCTTCCAAGGTTTACAACTGTATCAAATATACTATCACAAATGTGATCTAGACCATACAGAATGTCATTATGTGGGATATTAGAAGCATTTAATCTGTTTGCTGACATAAAGGTGACATTCATAGAGCTGTATTTTTGACGTCAATACCAGAGTATATTTACTTTTAGGAAATCACAAGTAGACTGGAGTCCTTATAGCAGGGCTAGCTGGTATTGGACACGTTCATTAAAATGTGTAACTGAAGATTTTTCCTCAACAATATATTACTGAATGTGCAGTTCACATCAGAGAAGTTTTCATCATCAAGAGAAATTCATGCCACATATTCTAAAGCTTAAAATTCAGCTACCAAAGGGATTCTTAATGTTTTGTTCCCCTCGACAAAAATCGAGACCACTTTATAGATCTTTGGACATTTTCAAAGTTCTTGTTCCCTGAACAAATTCTGTGAGTCTTGTCAGGATCCCAGTTGTTGCATTGAATAAATTGTTCTCTTTTGATTACAGTTAAATTAATAATGAAATTAAGTTGTAAATTAGTAAACTTCAAAGAGGTCTAACCTTCCTTACCCTTGTTGAATGTCATGAGAGTTCCACTTCTTATAAGGGTGCTGTGCGTCTCCTCTTTTATTCCTGAGAGCCTCCAGCTCACTACACTCTCTGTTGCAGACAGAGTGATTCTTGGAAGATGTTTTCTTAGTACTCACATACAAAAGAAGACTTGCATTTGCCATATTAAAGAACTGTACTGTGGAGTTCAGCTTCTGGCTGTGAGTGATCCCCTCTTCTTGCAAGGTAGTTCTCAAAATGGCATAATCTGTGGACTTTTTTCACAAAGGGTATATGTTAATATTTATATATGTTATAAATACATGTTTAATATTGCATATGTGGTTCACATTAGTGGCTTATATTTCTGTTGAATAGGGCTGCCTTAGACAGTGTCTAGTGTCTAGTGCCTAGTGTCTAGTGTCTTGTACCTTGTGCCTAGTGCCTGTCTAGTGTCTAGTGTCTTGTACCTAGTGCCTAGTGCCTGTCTAGTGTCTAGTGTCCCGTACCTAGTGCCCAGTGCCTGTCTAGTGTCTGTCTAGTGTCTAGTGTCTAGTGTCCCGTACCTAGTGCCCAGTGCCTGTTTAGTGTCTGGTGCATATTGTCTAGTGTCCTGCACCTAGTACCTGTCTAGTGTCTAGTGCTTAGTGTCTAGGGTTTAGTGTCCTAGACATGACAAAATTGGAACTGGGGGCAATTTGGGCAACTTTAGGTGATAAAGGGATTTTAAAGTTTTAATTGTTATACATATATTTTATTTATTTTTTAATTATTTATTTTTATTTTTGAGATGGAGTCTCACTCTTGCCCAGGCTGGAGTGCAGTGGTGCAGTCTCTGCTCACTGCAACCTCTTCCTCCCGGGTTCAAGTGATTCTCCCTGCCTCAGTCGCCAGAGTAGCTGAGATTACAGGTGTGTGCCACCATACCTGGCTATTTTTTGTATGTTTTAGTAGAGATGGGGTTTTTTTGTGTTGGCCCAGCTGGTCTTGAACTCCTAACCTCAGGTGATTCGCCCGCCTTGGCCTCCCAAAGTGCTGGGATCACAGGTGTGAGCCACGGCACCTTGCCTATGAATGTATTTCAATGTATTACAAAAAATCCAACTGACATTGTTTCATACATAGTATTGCTTTGAGTTGATAAAGTAGACAGCATCATGATAATGCTATTCACACAGACCCAGCAGTTATCAATACCACAAACCCTCCTTTATTAACGGTTCAGAAATAGTATTAATCACGCAGATGACTCCAACTGCTAGTTTCTTGAAGGTCACCATTTATTTCCATACTCTTTAGGCATACCTCTAAATCGAGAAAAGAAAACCTACTTGTTTAGTTACAGCAAAATCTGATGTGCTTCAAGATTTAGAAGTAGCTGGTAAAAGGGTTCCATTTGTTGTTTTCTTTAGGTTCAAGTAACTGTGTTCTCAACTTTTTTCCTCAGTTTCATAAAGAGTAGAAAGTGAGTTGAACAATGAGAACACATGGACACAGGGAGGAGAACATCACACACTGGGGCCTGTTGGGAGGTGGGGGCTGGGGGAGGGGCAGCATTGGGAGAAATACCTAATGTAGATGTCAGGTTGATGGGTGCAGCAAACTACCATGGCATGTGTGTATCTATGTAACAAACCTGCACATTCTGCACATGTATCCCAGAACTTAAAGTATAATAGAAATTAAAAGTAAAAGAAAGTGAATATAAGCTTTTATGTTGTTGTTAAGTCATCATTCAACTATATGCAGTGTGAGACGACTTCAGGGTTTTTCCAAATAAAACTTCTAACCTGAAAAATCACACATCCATTTAGGACTAAAATGAGAATATATCTTGCACATCGACATGTCTATTTGAATGACAAAAATGTATTCTTACAAGGCATGATGCTTACAGTAGTGTTCTGTTAGAGAGCATATGAACCACGTGAATGAAATGATAGTAACACTAGAACTATAAGGTGTTGGATTCTCTTGATTGTGCAATCTTGGTGGGAATTCATATAAGAGCTCACTAAAAATGTACTCATACATTCAATCAATATTTATTGTACACATACACATAGCAAAAACAGGTTTAGGCTCAGGTGATAAAGCAGTTTAACCACCCAGCTCAGGTGATAAACACTCAATTGCCTGGTTTTCAGGAACTTTTAATTGAGAATGGGGGAAAGGAGAGAGGGACAAATAAATAAGATTCTATGGGGCTTTGTAGACCATTGTAAGGATTTTGGTGTGTACCGTAAGTGGAATAGGGTTGAGAGACAGCCGGACAGCCAGACAGAGAGACAGACAAATCAATGTTGACTTCAAAGTTAGAAATAGAATGTATATTATGAGGATGTATTTAAATATTAGAAAAAGATGTCATGCATATTTTCCCAAGCCAAATGATAAAAATAAATGAATAACACATGCTTGTTTGCAAAAGTTCATGAATAGGACAGATTCAGAAGAATTCAGACAGAATTCAGGTTTAGGGAATTTCTTCATAAGATTTCTTGGAATACAGTTGTACTAAAAAATAATCACAAATCAATATGGTTAGAAAATCGGTTCTTAGTTCCTAAACCTGTTAGAGAAGGTAAATAAAATATTTTGCTTATTCTCAGGAGACACATGTATGAGATGAAATTTTCTTTTTCTTTTCTTGGCCTTCAAATAATTGTTTATGATGATGAAAACTTCTATGTAAACAAAATGTCCAATTGTAGAGTTGGAATGAAATAATGACGGTATGTGCATAGGATGAACTACTGTGCAAATTGTTAAAATAGTTTAATGACCTGGGAAAATACTCAGAGATGGAATTTTCATCACTGATTAACCTCAAACAAAATTATGCAATCATTTTCCTAATATGGAACCCAGGTTCTTCTTAAGTGTCATCTAGTCAAGTAATATTTTATTCTATGATATGATCAATAACTTCATTATTTTTAGTGACAAACATCTTTAGTTGAGAAGATAATTATATTCATTATTAATTCTATTATATATATTATATATATAATAGAATTATACGTATATATAATAGAATTAATAATGAATATAATTATCTTCTCAACTAAAGATGTCACTAAAAATAATGAAGTTATTGATCATAGGATAAAGTATTACTTGACTAGATTACTTGACTAGATGATATGTATATACGTATATACATATATATATATATATTTGAGATGGAGTTTCGCTGTTGTTACCCAGGCTGGAGTGCAATGGCGAGATCTCGGCTCACCACAATCTCGGCCTCCTGGGTTCAGGCAATTCTCCTGCCTCAGCCTCCGGAGTAGCTGGGATTACAGGCATGCACCACCATGCCCAGCTAATTTTTTCTGTATTTTTAGTAGAGACGGGGTTTCACCATGTTAACCAGGATGGTCTCGATCTCTTTACCTCGTGATCCACCCACCTCGTCCTCCCAAAGTGCTGGGATTGCAGGCTCTATTTTATATTTTATTTTCAAATTAATCATGTTGCTTTCTATTGTGTTTATTTTCATGTTTACTTTGAGTCACGGCAAGTGACACTGGTTATACTACTTTGAAGGTATATAAATAACGTGATTAAATTGATCAAAGAAAAATATTAAGTAAGTGCTTATGTAGACAGTATGGAGTATGGCAAAACACTAAATTATAACTGAAATGGTCAAGGTTTTAGGAGCATTGTCCTATTAAAATGTTAACATTTCCTGTGATGGCCATCCTCTAGGTCAATCCCAACTATTGGAAACCTCTAGCTTTCTTACATATGTCTCTTATCTAGCTGACTCTTTTAAGCTATAGAGCATGTCTTTTCTATCCTACCGTGAAGTTGGTCTAGGCACTATGCATAGTGTGTTACAAGAATAGTATTCTTACCTTTGAGAAATGCATAATTTTATGCACATATATGTAATTTATTAAAGGAAAACACTAAGAAACCTAAAAGACCTTCAAATCATATCAGACTTTCTCATAGAATGGGCCAACCAGGAGCCTTATTAAAAAACAGACAACCAGGCCGGGTACAGTGGCTCATGCCTGTAATCCCTGCACTTTGGGAAGCTGAGGTGAGTGAATCAGCTGAGGTCAGGAGTTTGAGACCAGCCTGGCCAACATGGTGAAACACCGTTTCTACTAAAAATACAAAAATTATCCAGGTGTGGTGGCAGGCACCTATAATGCCAGCTACTTGGAGGCTGAGGCATGAGCCCGGAAGGTGGAGGCTGTAGTGAGCTGAGACTGCAACAAGAGGGGAGACCTCTTCCCCATATCCCTCCGCTCAGGCCTCCACCTCTCCCTTTGGATGAGAAGGAGGGTAATGAGAGATAAAATACCAAAGAACTGGAATCTGTGTTCAAGTGATTTGCTGACACCACTGACCAGGGAATAATGAGGCCCAAGGACTGGGAAAATAACTCCCTTTTCAGTTCTCAGAGTCTATGCTATCTATAAACTTTGAAGTGTTGCAAAGAATATTATCCCTACTGGCCAGAGTCCGGCACTGGGTCATGTCCTCCACATTTACATGACCCAGACCCCCTCCTGGAAATACCTCTGCCAACTAATAATTTACTGCCCTTGTCTTGTCTCTATAAGCCTTTCCCTGCCTATTCCCACACCCACTGCATATAAATTAGCAAATCAATGAAAGCCAAAGACTGTGAGGTCAGCTGTCCTGGCCAAAGGGCAATAACACAGTTTCACCTTGGCTACCACTTTAAAGTTGTAAGCCCTTAAAAAGGTAAAGAAGCTGCTTCTTGAAGACCTCGGTGGTCAAGGCATTAACCTCCCACAACTCCTGGCTGAATAAAAAGCCACTTCCTTTCTCAGTTCAATGTTCCAGAGGTTTGTTCCCCGCCTATCCTGATACGGCACCACTGCACTCCTGCTTGGGTGACACAGTGAGACTCTGCCTCATGTTAAAAAAAGACAATCAGATCTATAATATCATTGTTACTTCTTTGTGTTCATAGAATATATTATAGAACTTAAATACTACTTTTATTGTTGTTTTCTAATGAGTGAATGCAGTTCAACTAAACTAAACTTTTCATGTTTTTAAATTTATTTCTCTCTAGCCCAGAGAAATAGATGCAAATAATGAACATTGCTAAAATAAAATAAAATTGCTGATATCTTCTTACTTTCTTTGTTGCCTTTTATTACAACCTTAGTTTCAACAACTATTAGGTTGGTACAAAAGTAGTTATGGTTTTTGCCATGGAAAGTTATGGCAAAAACTGCAATTACTTTTGCAGCAACTTAATACTCTTTTGTAATCTTGC